ATTTTTGGATATAATGTACTCCTTGTCACGACAAATACATGGTACATTCTAGAACTTTAGAATTCGTCGTTGTCGGGAAGTTATCCTCAAATTTGTGTTTGTATGGTGCGACAAATATACATGGACAATACAAAACTCAAGATATAAAATACATTCAATACTTTGTTTTACCACCATGAAATGCATGAACTGCAAGACACCGAGAAGTCATGGACGCAATGAGCGTTTCAAAGTAGCTGTGCTCCATTTCAGACCACGATACTAAAATTTGACGCTTTAGATCGCTCCGATTGTTAAATTGGCGTCGACCGTTATCATATACCTTGCGCGAAAGGTGTGCCCAGGCATTTTCTATCGGATTCAAGTCCGGTGATAATGCCGGCCAAGGCAAGACATCTCCAAAAATGCTTTCGTTGCATGTGAACTATGAATACTGGCATTGTCCTGTTGAAAGACAAAGTCAGTTCCACAATGTAAATGAGCAAACGGCAGCATGGACCAGGGACCGCGTCGAACAGGATCAAGTGGGAACGGATCATTCGGTGCTCGCCTCCACGGATGATGCGTGTCTGAGCCACAACACTCACCAGGGAACACATTAACATCTCAGCCCATGTGGCCTTGAAGAGTTCGTCGGGCAGCTCACCAACGAAGAAGTGGTTTGCAATGGCGTGCTTGGGGGGCAAGGGCCATGATTCAACAGGAATCTCCGAGAAATCAGGAAATTCCACTTCTGCCAACGCATCTATGGAACTTCCATCATTGTCTTCGATGGGATCGTCATACAGACAGGCCTCTTGATCAGCATATGCAATTGCATGTTCGTTGTGGTCATCAAATTCATGGTCGATGTCACGCTCGCTATCCACTGGCTCGCCCGGAAACACGTAGTGACGTGGCAGTTCACTTAGCCAAGGCTGAAGGAGGACGATTTCACACTCCAAGCAAACGTTGAAGTCGACATCCTTCGGATTTTCGATGTTGTTGACATTGCCAGCATGCGTGATGCCTTTGCGCGAGAGCATCAAACCAACAAAGGCAGGATATATGTCCTTGCAATCGTAATACGCGACCAACTCATCGCGCAATGTGGCGTCAGGATTTCGCAAGCGGGCTGCCATGGATTGCAGGATGTCCTTATCTTCGTTTGAGTACACATGGACATCAGTTGTAAATGCCAAACGATCGCACACACAGCACACACATTGATCTATTCCAGAGGGGCCAAGGGCAAATCCCAATTCACCCAGGATTTTGGACTTCATGTCCTTGGAGCATTCATGGAGCAAGCCAGCGTCGTCCAGTGCGGCACATTGCGCTTCCGAGGCAGTTACATCGTTGATCTTGGCTTCTTGAACGCGATGAAGCCCTTGTCGCCGGCGTTCAAGTCGGCTCTTCCGTTCTTCGACGCTTTCAAACACATGCAAAGCCTTTCGTTGCGCCTTAAGGTACCCCAAACGACTTGATCGCGCCTCCGCAGTTTGAGCTGAGTATTGAGCTTTCAATGCAGTCAATCGAACGTCACGATCTTCAGGTAACTCCAGCTGCCGCTTTGCTTGAAGACTGTCCAATCGAGCTCGATGTTGCTCTGGGGATTCCATAAATCTCTTTGCCTTGAGGTTTTGAAGTCGCCTAGAATGTTCTTCTGGGGTTTGCATCGCAATCGATTTGCTTTTAATCTCTGCAGACGCATGGCGTTCAAGTTGGCCTTCGCGCTCCTCGACGGTTTCCGACATTTTTAATGCCTTCCTTTGCGGGGTAGGCCGCGAACGGCAACGACATCATGGGTGCGTATTGCATCTCTTGAGAGACGGTGCGTCGGAGCACCAGACCAGCCGTTCCGGGTGGAGACGACATTCTCTCGGGGGTATGTTAGTCACAGAGCACGAACAGGCGCTGCGTACGGGTAAAATGTAGATCGCTGCAAACGAGAGAGATCAAACACGAGTAGATGCACACAAACTTGTGGGCAACAGGAGACTTTGACTAAAGAATTCTTTGTTGTATCTCAACTACTTTAAAACCGATCGAAACCAAAACGTTGGAATATTCAAAGGTACAAGGCGAAGTGAGTGACAACGAGCCACTCAAACTACTTAAACTCTTAGACCCGATAAAGGGGCCGATACACTCTACCAATG